ATTATTATTGTTATATAAATATAAATAATAACAATAATAAATAATAATATTAATAATAAATAATGTATATTAATAAAGAATAATAAATAATAAATATTAATAATAATAATAAATAATAATAAAAATATTAATAAATAATAATAATAAATAATTAAGGGCGGTGCCTATCACCCGCTAATCGCAGAAGCGATGAAAGACCAAGGTGGAACGACAACGGTGATTAACCAAGACAAAACCCTCTACGAGGCCATCAAACGCTTCAATGTGGATACGACCGCCGCGCAACCGCTCGCGACTGGAGGACAGTTTGGCATTTCGACGACAGCCGCCGACGATGAACTGCACAAGGAGATCATGAAGAAGTTCGTTATTTATTTATTTATTATTATTTATTATTATTTATTATTATATATGTTATTTATTATTAATTAATTAATTAATTAAGGTACGAAGAGAGCGTGGAACGAATTCTTGAGCTGGAATCACGTGGGGACGGCAACGCGAGTAAGGTTTTGGATTTGGAGGATGAATTGAAACGTACGAAGGATAGACTGAGCGAGTGCTTGGTGACTTTTTATTATTATTTTATTATGTTTATTATTATTGTTGTTGTTTATTTTTTATTATTTATTGTTATTATTTATTGTTATTTATTGTTATTGTTTAATTATTATTATCATTAATGTTAATTTTAGGATGCACTCCGCAAGATTCACATGGTCTCGAAAGAGCCAGTTCCAGTCGAGGGAAGCAGCGAGCGGTCATCTGGCGCCCAATCGCCAGGTGCGAATTAGCCATTTTATTATAAGCCACGCCCATTTTAGATTAAACTACGCCCCCTGGATTTTGCCAATTAAAAGATTTAGATTATATATGATATTTCGTTTTGTTATTATTGTTTATTATTATTTATTATATTTAATAATATTATTAATTATATTTATTATACATAATAATAAATATTGTAGCCTCACTAGCCCAAGTCGCGCCGCCCGAGGTGTTGCGTAGCGTGCGTCAGGCGTTGCGCAATCGCGACAACGAACTGCAGCTAATGCAGCGCAAAATGAAGAATACTGAATCACAGGTGAGGATTTTTTAAAATATTTTTTAATGTTATATTTATTATTGTTATTATTATGTTATATTTATTGTTATATAATTTAATAAATATAATAATAAATTAATTAATTAATGATTTTACAGGTGAACGATTTGGAGATTCAACTGAACAGCGCAGAAGAGACACGAAAACGTTTAGAGAAACAACTACTCGACACCAAGAAAGAACTGACAGCACAGTGAGTTTTGGAATTTTTTCGAATCTTTCAATAAAATTTACGAATTGTCATAAAAATTTTCCAAATTTTTTCTTAAAAATTTCCAAATTTTCCAAAATTTTTCCGAATTTTCTCGTTGGAACATGAAAATAATGATGTGTAATGCAGAACAAGAGCATTGGACGATGCGGGTCGTGATATCAAACGTTTGGAAGAGCGTTTAGCCAAGGTTGAGTCGGAACGCAATGTACTCGATTCTGCGAAGAAGCATTTGGACGATGAAGTGAGACGTCTCAAATCGTGGGTTTTATTTTTTATTATTGTTATTTTTTATTATATTTATTATTATTATTTATTAAATTTATTATTATATTTATTATTATATTTATTATTATTATGAATTTAGATTGTTGGATGCCAGTGCGACAGATGGTGAAAAGAAAGCGTTAGAAGAAGCGGAAGCTCGAATCCGAGAGATTGAAGATGAAACCAAAAAGAGGTACTTATTATTTTTTACAACGTGTATATTTTTGTTATAAATAATAATAATATATAATATTAAATGTTATATATTATTAAATGTTTTTATTATAATAA